GCTTTTAAACCAGTCAAAATTGAGACTGTGTTTCTCAATGACTTCCAGAAGGATGCTTGTGATGGTTAAAGAATCTGCTGCGTCAGAGCTGGCGAGAACATTTTCCAAACACAAAAATTTCACCTCAACCTTTTCGCTACCCCTGTTATAATACTGGATGAAACCAATCATTTGCTCCAAATTTGCAATGTCAGTCATGTCATCAACCATCACCCCAAATGGCCCAGTTACAGCAGAAATGACTTCATTTTGAATCATTTCACCAAGAAGAAGCAACATGTTGCGAAAGGAACCTACTGATGTGTGATTAAAGCCACTCATATCACACCCCAGCTTCGCAACCAACTTTAACAGACTCTTAACCTTGACATTTGCTATATCCTCCTTTGCCAACCAGTAAAAGCAATAGAAAACTCTTTCATACACATCAACCTGAACTTCAGCATTATGATCGAGCTCTTTCTGGAAAACTGAGAACCTGTTCATAAGAATGGCAGTGATTGCATCTTTGTGTCTCTTTGTTGCAATGTGCTCCTCGAGGCAATCTTTCTTTAACCTTGTGCTTGGTTCTGCAGAAAAAAATTCCTTTTTGTTTTGGGGATTCTTGGAATCAAACTTCTTGCAGATCAGACAGTATTGACCTTCTCCTTCGATGTAAACGAGCCACCACATCTGTACTTTAGGGCTATAGGCCAAATCCTTATTAAAGATAAGGCTGTGATTAAACATCTGCTTCTTTTTGGTTGTTTTGATGCGTGCTCTTTCTTCTTGAGACACACCCAAGCAGTCACGCTTTTTGCAGAGAATGTAGTGATGAATTTTCTTCGTCTGCTGTTCTTCAGTGAAACTGTTCGTGATATCACTCTCTGACTGTATACACACAGTATCTGTGGGAGGAAAATACATGTAAGATTCTTTACCTTTTTTCTTCAGTGTGTGATGCAAACCACCAACTAGAGAAGGCTACTCTCAAAAAAAGAAAGAAATATCACGAATTGTAATAAAAAGTTCGTTTACCTTCAGCGTGGTTGGTAGGGGCTGCGGTCACAGAGATTTCTTGGCAGTCGCGTAACACATTGACGGGCAAACTTTCGGCATCTTCGAAGTTTAAGGACGTACTAGGCGTTGCAGAAGACCCTTCCGTGTCTGGTGCATCTAACGAAAGCAGTGAGAATATGTATCGATGTTGACAATGTGTACCATTTATCCCCCATGACCAACGCGTTAAATAAACCAAGCATAGTTATTTCGCGCTCACGTATATGACCTCACGTATACAAAATTTGAGTTAAAGGCGGAGATTAAATTTTATTTTTTAGCGCGACATACAAGCTCCATAAATAATGCATTGTTAGCCAAAATTTCAATCGATTAGATAAATCAATTTTATT